ACACCTGAATCATCGTTTTGTGGCAATGACTTTAATGGGCTGTGTCACGTGCAGATGACAAAAGATGCAGTTTTAGAACCAAATGGCAAAGTTGAAAATAAGTCACCAGAGCTGGATGGCATTCGCCCAAGAGTTCCTAAAGAGCTCATATGTGAAATTGCTGATCTTTTAACAAAAATATGCAACTTATCACTAAAATAAATCTCCTTAGCAAAGGACTGGAAGGTAGCCAATGCAGCATCAATTTTTTAAAAAAGGATCCAGGGGGGATCCACATAATTACAGACCAGTCAGCCTAACATCTGTCCCAGATAAATTCGTAGAAAACACGAAGTCCCCTAAGGATCTGCAGTGGGACTGGTGCTATTTAACTTATTCATAAATGATCTGGCATCAAGGGAGAACAGTAAGAAAGCCAGGTTTGCAGATGACACCAATTATTCAGGATAGTGCAATACTATGCAGATACTGGAGAGTTCCAAAAGGATCTCTCCAAACTATTTGAATGGACAATAGAATGGCAAATAAGATGGAAAATTAGTACGTGCAAAATGATGCACATAAATCTTGACTTTACATTTAATTGATTGGGTCTAAATTGGCTGTGGATACAGAGAACATAAGTCTTTAAGGTCACAAAAGAAAGCAAAGCGAAAAGGGCAAGTTAAGTGTTAGGAATTATTAGGAAAGGGGTTGGAAATAAACTAAGTAGCACAATGCTGTCACACAGCTGGCAGAGATACAGAAAGGGTAATTAAAATTATGATGATGAAGTTGGAGCTTCCACAATATGAAAAGGCTTTCATAGAGCTTTGGTTCACTCACTCACTCACACACACAGACACAAACACTGAGGTGGAGGCACAATCAGCATGTATACAATTATGAACACTGCCGGGAGAGTGAACAGAGCCATTTCCTCACACACTACTAGGCCTTGGGATCACCCAATTAAACTGATTGGCAGCAGATTCAGGACAGAGAAAAGACCGACATAAATAACTTAAGGAATTAATTGACACATGGTGCAATGATGACCACTAAGTTGGTTTTTTAATTTACAGAGAATACATCGATGTGATTAGCCAGAATTATTTTTTTTAAAAAAGAATCTCCATGCCAAGAGGCAAACTGCTTTTTTCTACCAGATCAATGAAATAAACATGGTGGGCACCATCATGCCCTGCTTGTAATCTGCCATTGTAACTGGCTGGTCACTGACAGAATATCAGACACAGTTGGACTTGGACTTTTTCAGCGAATCAGACCTTAACCCAGAATGACACAGACAGCAATGTCACACATTATCAGACTTGAGTGTACACAGAAGATTTTTTATATATACCCCTAAAATAAAAGGCACATTTTTAAAGCCCATAAACATATGCATGTATATAAATTTAAAATATTCATGCAAACTGCTACTACTGGTTTAGTTATGTATGTACACTTGTATATTCTTGTCAGAGTACTGATCAAACTCACCAAGGGTGGATAAAAATCACTGATTAAAATATTAAAAATTGGATTTGTTTTGAATTGGATTTTTAAAAATAAACAGTTTTTTGAAGGAAACTCCATCTAACGATAGTTTTCTATTTAAGATACTTTACAGCCCAAAGGCTATTCACCATGAAATAAGGATTAATTTTTATGTAGCAAGAGGCTGTATATTCATACAAAGTTTATGTTTTTTGGTAAATGAATTCCATTCATCAGTTTACAATGTCATGCTCTTCTATAAGATTACTGGGCAACTTTCTATCTAGAAGATATGATCACAGATGCTTGGTTTTACACTTCTCAAAACAGTGAATTTGTGTCTGCAGAGACTGTATGCTTCTTCACAGCAAACATGTTATAAAATGAACATACAGAGTTGCAAAAAAGACATTAATCCATTATTCCTTTGCAAATCTATGCACACAGAATCAACCTGTTAATTCTTAAGTGCTAAACTTCAAAAATTTCAACGAATAGAAGACTGTTGAGAGAGGAATAGATCTGCAAAAGAAGCTAAGTGTGAGGAAGGAGGGGCAAGCTGTAAAAACAAAAATGAGCCCTTTTGAGCAGAATACTCCACAAGCCTTTGGATCGTTTTGTGTATAGCTTGAGGTTTATCATATTATTCTATATGATAACTTACAATGGCAGAAGGCCATAACAGAGACCCTGTTTGGGAATATTTCGATGAAGTTTCTCTACCTACGATTAAGGCAGGAATGTGTATAAATTATGTAGAAAATCATTATTTAAAGCAAGTCTTACTGACTAGTGTTTTAAATCAAATCCACCCTCAACTTACCTATCAAATATACACTCCATGGCAAGCATAGTTATCTATACATCCATCTCACAGCTAGGAAGGTAACTTGCTCATCTTGACCAAGTGTCTCAGTCTAACCTACTCAACAGGGTTGTTCTGAGGATGAAATTAGATCATCAGATGCTGGTCACATTTGTGCTTAATAGGAAACAATCCTCACTTGATAAACCAGAATACAGGTAAGCAATATATAGGGAATATACATAAGCACACATCCCATTTGCACGTTTGTGAACATGGAAAAACAAGCTACAATTCAGCCTTTAAATATAATTCTCCAATACTTGCAGACTGAGAACTGTGGGGGAATGCTTTCAAACAAGCCGGGATCAAAAGTTAGATTCAAACCAGGGCTGGAAATTGAGTCTCAAATCTGGCTTGTTTAGAAGAACTTTCCAGTTTACATGTTAATGAGAACCAATGTTCAACTGATCGATTTTGACTTTTTTCCCATTTATGCAAAGGGACAAACAAAGCAATAAGAAAGAGGTTACCTGTGGGTACACCTCCTTCATGCATATCCTGGCTTAATCAAGCAGGATGGCCCATTAAGAGTGATGGATAAATCAGATTATAGCGCTGTTACATCACAATCCAGATGCACATACTTGAAAGAAAGTCTGTTTCTTTTTTCCCTGTCATCCAGTACCATCTGTTGGTGGTACAGTCCTGCTTGCAACAGATGACAAGGTAGGGATGACAGGACCAGGCATTTCCTCTTGCTGTGTAGCAAATGGTGCTATAAGGTGGCAGCCCTACCTAGAGTTGTTTGGAAAGCCAGCCATGAAATTTCAGCTGGTCCAAAACAGGACATTGGGCCTGTTGATGGGGACTGGCCAGTATAATCACATTACACTAGTGCTTTATGATCTGCACTGAGTGCCAGTCCATTTCCAGACACAGTTCTAAGTTCAGGTATTGACCTAAAAAGCATATTTGAGATAAATTACAGGAAAGATCATGTCCTTCCATGCCTAAACACCAGGACCATCTTTAAAGGCCCTTCTCTGAGGGCCTCCAAAAAATGAGATGAGCAAAGTGGCTATGAAGGCAAGTACCTTTTCTGTGGTGGCACCATGGTTGGGAAATGTGTCCACAGAGCAGCTCACTTAGTACCTACATTGCACTCATTTTGATGCCAAGAAAAGAGCTTTTTATTTGCCCAGCTTTTAAGCCCTTCAGTTTACATAATGGTATTAGTGTGCTTTTAGAATTTTCACTGATGCTTTTATGTTTGTTGGTTATCACTTTCATCTGTGTTAAAATCATGTTATTTGTATTATGTGTTACTACATTACTTTATTTTGTGGTTTTAGATTTTGTTTTGAGGACTGCCCAGACAGCTTTGGCAAGCAGACAGTATTTATATGTAAGTAAGTAAGTAAATAAATAAATGACAATTGGGCAAACTTTAGCTGGTCATACCTCTAATCTTAACTTGCCTCATGGTGCTGTTGAAAGTGTAAGGAAACAGTGGGAGAATTATGTACAGCATTTGTCCCTTGGGCAAAAAGTAGAATATAAATGTAAGAAAGAAACAATACAAGTGTAGCAGATATAGCTAGTAACTCCTGGTATTGATATTCAAGAGTTGTCATGTTCATATTGTCCTTTGCTTCCTTACAAGGAGCCCAGGTTGGTCTATATAATCATCTTCTGCTCCATTTCATCCTCATAATAACCCTGTGATGCAAATTAGGCTGCAAGTGACTGGCCCAAAGTTTCTGGATGAGCTTCCTGGCTGAATGGGGACAAGACACCAGATCTCATGAATCCCCATCAACACTCTAACCATTACACCACAGTGAAGTATTTAACTTTTTAAACATTACCCTATCATATCCATAAGTAGCATAGCCAGACTTCCTTCTAAGGAAAAATCATTAAGTCCTAACTGCAAAGGTAGAAATGGCAATAATTTCTTATGCTGTCATTCCCTTATAGCTTGGCTTACTTGCACAAGTCAACCAGCGCTATTTGTTCAACGTGCAAGGGACGTGCATGGTCCCACCTGGTCTCTGCTTGGGCTGCACATTGGGCAAGTTGATGGATAGCCCTGCTTTTAGAGAAGATGTCTATGAGGCATTTTTGTATCTTTGCCGACCCTAGAATTACTCCAACTTAGGAAAGACCCACTGAATTGAATGGGAAGCCCCACTCATGTCCATGGCTCTAATCCAAGCAGAGCCAACAGTGGCTACAGCCCCATTTTTCCTCCGAGGTCAAAGGCGGCGTGGTGTTTCGGGTGCCTGCTTTGCGGAGCGGCACCCACTTTACACTGGAAGCCAGGCGCACCTTGCGGTGGCTTCTCGTCCCGCCTGAAGCGACGATGCCATGAACGCTGCACTTGTGGAGGTCGGTCCCGCGGGCAGCGGGGTCGGGCTGGCTCCCCGAGAGGCACGCAGGCGACGGGCTGAGCGGCTGGCAGCAGCCCAGTCGCAGGCGTGCGTTCTCAGCCGCGCCGACCTCCTCGGGGTGGGCTCCCCGCTCGGCCCCGGGACCGTGGTCTGCCTCGGCTGGGCTCTGGCGCAGCGGCGCACCGGTGGCAGAGGGTGAAGGGGAAGTTTCTCTCCCCGCTTCCCACTACTGAGGCAGCCAGTCCGGAGGGCCTTCAGGAGCCGAGATCCATTCCGGGGCTCCCGGATCTCCGGCCCTTGCCCGCTTCGGTACCGACCTGGCACTGGTTCAGCTCCTCAGTCAGGCTCCTGACTTCCGCTTCCAGCCCCAAGACCCGGGCCGCTGCTGCCGCTGCTGTAGCCGGATCCTTGCGCTGGGAAGAAGCCATGCTAAGTACCAACTGGGCACAGGGAGATGCTCTAAAAGTCACTTCTCACTCGTGCCTTTGACCTACCGACTCACTTACTTGGGGAACGGGCGGGGCTAATTGTGAAAATTTACAAACCGCCCGCACTAGCCTGGCGAGCCATTAAGAATTAGAAGGCGCCCGTGAACCAATAAGACGAAAGTTTTCACGGAACTCCCGCCTTCTCCTCCTCCAATACCTTTTTCTACCGCCCCACATTCGCTTTGAGAAAGAATATACGGGCGGCGCTAGGAACCAGAAGAAAAAGGACGCAGCGTTGGATTACCCGTTTAACTGATAATCGAAAGTGGTTGGGGGGGGAGGAGAACGATTTTTAACAGCCTCCCCCCCATGTCTGTACAGCGCATGTGCAAGTCTTTCGCGCCTGAAGCTCACGTTGTCCCGCCTTCTGCTCGTCTTCCGGGGAAATGAGTCTTGGAGGAGGCGGTGGCTGCATCTGGGGAGTTGGTTCTATTGATGCTTCTCCGGCGAAATTAGCTCATGGCAGGATCTTAACGCTGCAATTTTGGTGTATTTATTTGAGAAGAAGCACCGTTGAACAGCGCAGGGATCTACTTCCCAATATGGTGACTCTCTGGTCGTACAAGCAATTGCTCCAACAAGAGAAACTGGTGATGGTTGCATTTTACATGCATTTATTTGAAGCATTGTTTAAACCGACCTTCAAGGCGCACTGCCCTCACAAGGCACCCTAACAGTATTACCAGAACAAGAGCCGACAATTACAAATAGGCATAGAAGCAGCTACTAATGGTTCTTAAGCACTACATGCAATACTGGGTTAAATGTGTCTTCAGGATTCGCTTTTAAAAGCCAGCTTTGATGAGGTCATAGGTATTTTCCTGGAAAGGGACTGCCAAAAGTGTGAAGTAATCGCCACAAGGGATTTGTGGAATAGGCAGAACTCCAAGGGCTTATATTGCCTTAGCACAGATTGGTCTCAGTATCCTGCAAATTGCAAGGCTTCCTAAAAAACGATGGCAAGCTTGGAAAGTCGCTCATTTTATATTCATAAAACTTGAGTGTTACAGTACCCATATTTTCTACCTTCAGACATGAATAGGTTCTCAATTTTTACGTTAAGGTGTCAAGCTATGCAGACTTGTCAAGAGCAAGTGCTAGTAAGTTTAGTGCAATTTAAAACTTTAGTGCAATGTAAAACTTGGATCAGATAGAATTCTAAATCATGGTTTATTACCATTATGGGTTGCTGAATTCTAGATCTTTGTGATGTGGAATCCTAGTCAAATTAATCATAGGTTGTTATCTGCAAACATAGGTTGTTTCACTAGGGCTACAGATGCAACAGGCAACTTTGCAAACATTACAAAGACATTTGGGACATATGGAGTGAATGAAGGACACAAACAAGCCAACCCAGGAATTGAGAAAATAAGCTATACGTCATCAGCCAGACATTCCGTGGATAGGGCAACAAACAAGTTGTTTTTATGAGCAAACCAGGTCTAAAGGTGCTTCCAGATGAAAGGGACTTAATGCTAACAATTAGAGGGCCTTGTGCAGCTATTCCACCTTTTTTGAATGGGATTGTTTGCAATAAGAAAAAAGACACATGCAGCAGTTTGAAAACAGATGAAAACTGCCAGTGAAAGAGTATTCCTGGACAACCAGCCTGCAAAAATTCATGCCTGGACAACCAGCCTACAGTGAGGCAAGATGATGCAACCAAAGGGTCACCTGGAAGCAAAAACTCCTTTCTGGTGCTCAGTAAGGAGCAGGAGTACTCCAGACCTCCCTCATCCCCCTGTGTTTATATCATCCTGTACTTGTGAAAGTCCACACAGTCTGCAGATTAAAGGCTCCTGTATCCAAGGAGGCTTAGACTGCATAACATACTGAAAGTGATCCAGGCACAGTGTTAAAGGAATTACTTTCGTGGACTCTGCTAGGCTGTCTCCTTTACATTTTTTAAGAAGCTTTGGGGACGGGGGGGGCAAAACAGCAAAGTGTGTCCTTTGTGATTAAAAAGCAGATAAATGTCTAATCTGCGATCTATTTAAACAACCAGTCTTTCCAAAGCAGTATTTGTTTTCAGATTTCAAAACTCCATGCACACAAGCCATTTCCTGAATCGGATGAACAATGCTTTCTCAGCCCAATAGGTATGACTTATGTATGTGCCAGCAGCTTGTATGCAGTTGAAAACTATGCTGTTAAAACCTGTTGCTATGGTCAATATCTAAGGCAGTAGTATAGCTATATACACTTTTGTGGGAATAAATCTCATTTAATAAAATTGAACTCACCTCTTAGTATAGGAGGGCACTTCACTGTTAAGGTCTCACCTTACAAACCCAACACAGTTAAGATAACTGGAATTGGTCCTTAATAGAGCCATGTTACAGATGGAGGGCGGCTCAGCCACAACCACCCAGTCAATTCATGATGACATGCAGAGCTTCCACGGGCCTCCACCAGAATTCTTTCTACTCAACAACATTGGCTCAAGTGAAGTTGGCAGTCCATTTGCTTTACATTTATTTCAAAAATTAAAAACATAAGGTATTTGGGAACAACCTTGTATGACAAAGAGGAGTAGTTTGGGTAGTTTAAAAAGGGCTAGACTAGAGGAAGGCTGAACAACTGGTGGTCTGAGGTATGTTTCTACCTTGTATGTTTAATGGACCACCCACCCAGCTCTGATATAAAAAGGAAAGTGGCCTTGCAGGTAGGAGAAGGCAATCAGATTCCAGACATACACCCGTACCTACTGCTGATGTGATTTTATGGAGCTTCATGAAATTTAATTGCACACCCTTGGCATATGCCAGAATTCAGAAAATGAAGTTAAATTTAGACAAGACTACTATTATGTTTGATAATAGGAGGTTGTTTTCATAATCACTACAACCTGAAATGCATTTTAGTAAAGCTCCACAGGCCTCAATTTGTTTCAAGTTACAGCCTTGAACATTGGCCAGTTTTTGCAATCTCCAATTAATTTGCAAGGCTTGATACAGCATACAGTCCTGAAGAACATACACACTGTGTAACGCTCCTTGATTATTGTCCTACATTTCAATATCTGGAAGAGAAAAATTAAGGTTATGAAAGAAACTGTCATGGAGTGGGCAATAAACTGCACAAGGTGACTGGGCTAGGAGGAAAGAGGCGGATAAGTTCTTTATAGTCACTTCTGGATCAAAGTCTGATCCAGCTTCCCCACCCCACGTAATACCAAGCCTGGAGGGAGATGGTCATCTGGAGGCAATTAAATGGAAGAAACAAATATCAGCCCTGGACCGTCCTGGCAAAAGTATTTGTGTTTAAATGAGCAGAGGGAGAGAGCAGGACAGAATTTGGGATGTCTTGTTTGTTTGCTTTTTAAGAATAGTGAAACTGTAAAGAGAGGGTGCGGTTTGACCCTGTACAGGATGTGTAGGCTGTCACACACATACAAAGAGTTAGCTACCTGCTAGGAAAGGGATCGGTTGGAGAATGGAACAAATTAAATTACAGTTCTCCGAGGGAGTGAAAAGTGCATGGCCACCCAAAAGAACAATGCTCTGCTTAACCTTAGGCGTGTACTTGGAAGGGACAGCTTAGTGCATGGCCACCCAAGCTTCATACATTGTCAAGAGGACATCAGCGCAATCCTCCATGCCTGGGGGGGGGGCAGCCCAGAATGCACACCCACACACCCCACCCTTTGCATCCCTGCAAGGGGCTAATGCACTCCTGGACAATATGTAATCCATAATAATCCAAGAAGCCATTCTTAAAGTTTTAAGTAGTATGAAATCCACAGTTTAGGCCTTTGATGGCCAAGGTCAGTATTCCTAGGGCCGCTCTTATTCTTGGTGACTAGAACTGGCAGCAGACTATACACAGGAGAAAAGGTTACAGCCATTCCACAGCCGTCCTGAAAAGATTTTCTTCAAGAAGGCTCCCCCTCTCTCAGATGTCACCACTAACAGCTATTCCAGCAGACTGTCTGGAGGAATATGAGGGGAAGCAAGGAGATTCTACCAGACTTTCTGAGGCACTGCTTATTGCTTTCCTTTCCCTTCCCATTCCCTTTCTTCGTATTTTGTGTCTTTTAGATTGTGAGCAAGGATTATCTTGTTTTACTGATTGCCTGTGTTTGGCTGAGGAATGGGATAAAAATACTTTAAATCTATTAATAATTAAATGAATAATTAAATAAGGATTCTGAGATGCAAGCTGCCCATCAGTTTCCATAATACAGTTGGTGCCACATCTGTAGAAGTGCATGAGGCCAACCAGATGTGATGTAGGAGTCTATGATTACAATCTCCCACCTTTTTCCTCCAGCTAATGAACAGATCCATGCAATTGTTTTGACAATTAGGGAAACAGGCAGGAGTTATTTAAAACTTTCTTCTCCAATGCTTTTCTCAATCTAAATTCTCTGCTATTCACCCAAAACTGTTGTTTGCTGTGGGAGAAGCTGTTCTGGGATCTCCTGCATCATACCTAATTTGACTCTCAAACATTGCTTTACATACAAATATGTACAGCTGCTTTGGGCATGCATAATCATAGTGCAAAATGTACATTGCACATACCTATTGCATTTGTTACAATCTGAAATAGGGGTTTGGAGGGAGGGGTTGGTTCTTTATTAGTGAAACCATGGACAGACTTGATTACACCTTGATTAAAAATCCAAACATACCTTGATTAAAAGTAGTTCTGCCTGAAATCTGACAAAATTGCCTTGTGGACCACAATGGCTCATGTGCTGCCAGTTGTCAATCTCAGGGTTATGTTCTATTAATGCCACAGACCAACTCATGCACAATCTAATCAAATAAAGTGAACTTTCCAGGAGGCAAGACTTTTCTGAGAATAGAGTACGGAAAGACAGAAAACAATATGGATATGGAATGAGTTAAACATACCAGTGAAAAAAGCAGGAAAGTTGCCTCATCTTCCTTTCCAATTTGGCCCTATTAAACTTTCTACCTACTGTGCACCCTCAATAATTGGTTTCCGGCTTTGTTAGTATAAGGACCACATTGTGCATCTCTGCTCTAGGGTAACTCAAGAACCTGAATGCATCACCTAAGGCAAGGCCTGGGACACAGTTACAGCTGAACAGTGTTTTCAGAGCTGTAGATCACCCATTTCTGCTCTTCTCCACAGCTTTACTAGGTGTAAGCTGATACCTGAAGCACCTATCACCAACAAATTCAGTCTGCAATGTCCATTTTGGA